AACCAAAATATTTTTAGAATAACATTTTTCTGGAAAAAAACATGAATGATTCTAGACCAAGAAAACAGTGTTGGAAATTATAATATCAACGATTAAATGATAGATTAATGGTAAAATGCATTTGATAAGTCAGTTTCATGAACTCGTTAGTGCGTAAATCATACGTGTATTTATTTGAATTGTAATGTATGATTTCACTCAGATTCGCAAGGAAATTTATCCTCGTGTTGATCATGTTTATAGAGGAAACAATACTTACCAGAATAGCATTTGTCAAAAAAATCCTGGGCGATGTCTACTACAATTTGTAAAGATTAATTACTAAATAGAATATTCAGAATAAAATTTATTTTGAAACCTAGGAGCACAACACTAAATCCTGCTCCCCTGGCGTGTATGAATTCTTTCGAATGTTTGATTAAATTTTTCACACTTTAACGCCGTTTCTAGTGGAGAAGACAGAACTGGTTGGATCAACATTTGTCAGAAAGCTCACGGCCCATTGAAATATTTGAATGCTAATTCATAAATAATAATTCTTGATAAAATACATTAAATCGTTTTTTTTATAAATTCTAAGGAAGTCCTATCCCAAACACCATACTGTCATACATCTTTACATTTTTACACTTCTTGGGACTGTATTCAGATCAACGTTTTTTTATAAAAACCGCGCTGATACTCAAGGCTGAAGAACTGATAGTTGCATTTTTTCACAATCATATAACCAGAAATGACGTTTCCATAGAATCTGATATAAAAATATGCTTGACATTCCTTTAATTCACATCTGCCCTGCGACTCAAGTCCACTCGTGGCAATGTGTCGAATTCATACGCTGCAGTGTCATGGTTCGAGTCCCGCTATGGCTACTGATAGGACTTAGACGCGGTCCAAACTTGCATCCAACTTCTACTCAGAAAGCAAAGCTATATGAAATTCATGTCTTTGTGGGTGGAAACATCTCATATAAATTCTAAAATAATATTTTCTTTAAATATTCTTGTCAACTACGAACCAATAAACATGCCATTATATCTTTTTGCATACAATTCAACATTTTCTTTCGAATACAAATTCGCTTGAAACCCGCAAACCAAGCAAGTCTCATTCACGAATATCGTCGAGCCAACTTCTCTTTTTGCTTAAGACAGTCTTGGCAACCCAACTTTTCCTGAAATGTCTCTTTCTCCACTTGCAACTCTTGCCTCTGCTCAGCTTCACAATGCAGTGCGTGCTTCCGTTGAACATGTTTCTGGAGAAGATCTACATTTTCCTCTGGTTTTGGCACTGCACCATCGGTCTGATCACCCTCGTCAGCCTATTCGCCTGGCTCCGCCGCATGTACTGGCCCGATTCGCGTGTTCTCTTCGTCCGAAAGTATCTCAGCCTCCTCGGGCCGCCACGATTTCCCTCGCGCCTCTTCGAGTGGTCCGCCACCAGCACCTTCACCGACGCCTACCTCACCGTGGACGGTGTCTTCTTGATCCGGCTCATCTCCATCAACTGCGGCGAACTGTTGGCCGGCGACTTGGTCTGCGAACTCTGGACGGCCTACAGCCTCCGTCTGTTCGGCTTGTCGCCAAAGGTCATTTCATGTCCCCATTGCAGTCTCCAATCCGCCAGCCCCACTCGGATCGGCCCACTTGCCCTCCGAAGAGGTACCACAACCTGTAGATCCGACGCAGAACTCGTCGCCCGGCAACGCCTCATGACGACCACATGGCCGACCTATTCACCGCACATGATGATGATGATGATGCCGACGTCTGTGGGTCATCCTCCCGCCTGTTGCCAGCCTCGATTGTCCTGTCGACAGCCAGCCGATATGCCGTTGCCATGGACACAAGACCGAAGTGAGGCTGGCGGTCTCGTCCAGTGGGACAGACTGACCGGTCAGTCTGTGCTGTCCGTCTGTCCGACGTCTCGGCCGACCATTCAACCACATTTTAGTACTAACCTCGAGCATCGGCCACCACCACCACCGCCACCGCCACCGCCACCG